AAGGCTGACCAGTGAGGCTGTTTTGCTCTCTGATCTTCAGGCAAGCTTTATTTATTAAAATACAAATGAAATATCACTGAATAGATTAAAGTGATTTTATTTCTCCTGTGACAATTGTAGGTAGAGAAAGTATTTCAAGATGTAATTGAGATGTTTGGGAAGAAGCTTTGAATGTTAGGAGCTCAGTGTCTTGTGAGCTGACCAGAGACTTTCTTTGCTTGTATTGTCTTCTCTCAGCAGAGCATTTTCAGATTGAAGTCTGTTCGCCATTAAGATAGTTTATGAACTTAACTAAGCAAATTCATTTTGATTAACGTCTGTATCTCTTGTTGCTCTAAAGTTTATGTGTTTTGTTAATTTTATGTGTCTGTTAGAATAAAGAAGGAATTAAATGCATAAGCTTAAATAAATCTTTTAATTTATAAATTTTAATTTATATGTGTTGTTTTAAAACTAAAATTCTAAATTCTCAAAATTGAAGCTTCCTTTCAATAAAAATGACCCCTGCTAGGAGTAGTCACACACGCCTTTAATCCCTAAACTCAGGAGGCAGAGGCAGTGGGGTCTGTGTGAGTTCAATGATAGTTTGGTTTCCATAGGAAGTCCTAGGCCAGCCAGGGCAACATAGTAAAATTCTGTTTCAAAAAAAGGGCTTTGGGGTGCTAAACTACGCATACAAATGCCAGGCTGGTACATGCTTATAATTTCAGTGTTAGAAGGCTGCAGCAGGGGAATTGCAGGTTCAAAACCAGCCTGGGCTAGATAATACAACCTTGTTACAATAAAATAAAATAGTCATACAAAGTTTGGAAAATAGCAAAACCCCACCAAGAGAAAAATATGTACTATATTATAGTTAGTATAACAAGAAATGATAGTTCTTATCCATGTTGATTTGTTTAATGTATGTGTATAGTTACTTTTGATTTAGATTATGTAAGGTTAATATAAAGATAGCTTGAAGCTCTCCTGTTTTGGAAGCAAGCATGATCATAACCTAACTGTACCAGTTCTTTGAGGTCATTTATGGTCACTGCTTTTTCTCTTGACAGACTTTCAGCTTTTATTTGTTTTATTGGTTGGCTGGTTTGCTGTTTTTGTTTGGATATTGGTGGTTTTGATTTATTGCTTTTTTATAGTGGTCAGCATTGGGATTAGACTGCCTCGTGAAGGCAGACATAGTGTGAAGCTTTGGTTGCTGTGGCTCTATGAACCTGTGACTGAGACTGGTTTGAAGTCTGTGTCAGATATCTAAACACTTTGACATTTAATCTCTGATAAATCAAGCCTGGGCTACATTTCTTACTTCCTTTCAACATTTTGTATATTTAGCCATTTATATTTTCCTGTTTAAAAAACTTTTCTAGAAAGGAAACTTTCTAGAAATTATTGTCATTATTTTTTAATGATGTGTGTGCTTCTGTATGAGTACACACATGTAAGTTTTAGTGTTTTTATCCTTGGGTATTTTAAGTGTATATCTGTGTGCATGCTATCTGTTATGTGTACGGTGAGTCCTCAGGCACCTAAGGACAGAGGAGGACAAGAGATCCTCTGGAACTGGAGACGCAGGCAGTTGTGAGCCAGCTGACGGGTTCTGGGAACCAAGCTCCCATTTTCTGTAAGAACAAGCACTTTTACCCACCGAGCCATGGTTTCCAGTCCCTAACATGTTCAAAGTTTAGTGGTAATTTCAGAGATGTCCCAGAGTGCTGTTTATAAATCTTAGACAGGTTAGAAAACGTTTGTAGTATCCAAAAGCCTTAATGGTTGGTCTCTATGGTTCATTTTGGATATGTCTAAAATAGCTGGACAGAAACTTACTTTTTAACTTACTGCAAATTAAAAGCATACAATGTTAATATGCTCTACAGGACAAACTCCCTAACATTCCAAAGGCTGAGGCAGGAGGATCACTTAAGTTTAGGAGTTGAAGGCTAGGCTGGGCAACACAGTGAGACTGCCTAGAAACTCACCCATACTTTATTCCATTTGCCCATAGTCCTGATCTACTCATAGAGGAAGAGATCTTGAAGGATTGTGTTTATCCAAAGATGAAAATGGGTATATGAATTATTTATAAAGATTTATGTTCCTTTTCATATAACTTTTCAATTATATCTAAAGCTATATATTGTCCTTTTAAAAATAAAATAGTCTTGTTTTGTGCAGTCTTTAAAAGTTCTGATAATCTTTGAAAGCAAATCCACAAGATATTTTGGTGAGAAAACATGCTTGATATAGGTTTGACATAAAGCACTTAGAAATGGAACTAAATACAAAATTAGATCTAATAGGAAAGGAGAAAAATTGTATACTTTGTGTGGTTTTTTTTTTTTTTTTTTTTTTTTG